TGTGGGTCTAGACAGTGCGGGTGGCGGGGGTGTAGCCGTGTGGGTCTAGACATGTGTCCGGTGTTGGGGTGGTAGCCGTGTGGGTCTAGACGTGTCCGGGTGGTAGCCGTGTGGGTCTAGACACGTGTCCGGTGTCGGGGTGGTAGCCGCGTGGGTCTAGACCCGTGTCCGGGTGGTAGCCGCGTGGGTCTAGACCCGTGTCCGGGTGGTAGCCGCGTGGGTCTAGACCCGTGTCCGGGTGGTAGCCGCGTGGGTCTAGACCCGTGTCCGGGTGGTAGCCGCGTGGGTCTAGACCCGTGTCCGGGTGGTAGCCGCGTGGGTCTAGACCCGTGTCCGGGTGGTAGCCGCGTGGGTCTAGACCCGTGTCCGGGTGGTAGCCGCGTGGGTCTAGACCCGTGTCCGGGTGGTAGCCGCGTGGGTCTAGACCCGTGTCCGGGTGGTAGCCGCGTGGGTCTAGACCCGTGTCCGGGTGGTAGCCGCGTGGGTCTAGACCCGTGTCCGGGTGGTAGCCGCGTGGGTCTAGACCCGTGTCCGGGTGGTAGCCGCGTGGGTCTAGACCCGTGTCCGGGTGGTAGCCGCGTGGGTCTAGACCCGTGTCCGGGTGGTAGCCGCGTGGGTCTAGACCCGTGTCCGGGTGGTAGCCGCGTGGGTCTAGACCCGTGTCCGGGTGGTAGCCGCGTGGGTCTAGACCCGTGTCCGGGTGGTAGCCGCGTGGGTCTAGACCCGTGTCCGGGTGGTAGCCGCGTGGGTCTAGACCCGTGTCCGGGTGGTAGCCGCGTGGGTCTAGACCCGTGTCCGGGTGGTAGCCGCGTGGGTCTAGACCCGTGTCCGGGTGGTAGCCGCGTGGGTCTAGACCCGTGTCCGGGTGGTAGCCGCGTGGGTCTAGACCCGTGTCCGGGTGGTAGCCGCGTGGGTCTAGACCCGTGTCCGGGTGGTAGCCGCGTGGGTCTAGACCCGTGTCCGGGTGGTAGCCGCGTGGGTCTAGACACGTGTCCAGTGTCCAGGTGGTAGCTGTGTGGGCCTAGACACGTGTCTGGGTGGTAGCCGCGTGGGTCTAGACACGTGTCTGGGTGGTAGCCGCGTGGGTCTGGACACGTGTCCGGTGTCCGGGTGGTAGCCGCGTGGGTCTAGACCCGTGTCCGGGTGGTAGCTGTATTTGTCTAGAGGAAAAGGCAGTCGGGGGTCTTGGGAGAGGTGATTATTAGACCAACAAGATTTTTGCAAAACAGTGTCTTTAATGGCAAGCTTTCGGGCAGACACATCTTCAGGCTTCGGAGAAAAGACTGTAAAAGTTCTCCTGGGTTGAAACAACAGTTCGTATTTCATAGGATTTCACAGAGGAGATAGTTGGTGGGAAACCCTAATGCAGTGGTTCCCAACCCTTTTTTGCCGTGACCCGCTGCTGGGAGCGGAGCATGGTGGCGGCAGCTTGTCCTTTGTGGGCAGTGCTGCCGGCGTTGCCCCCACAACCCTCATTTGGGTCGCGACCAGAGGTTGAGAACTGCTGGTCTAATAAAAGATACCGCCTCTACCAAGAGCCGTGGTTGCCCTTTTCCTCTAGACCAGTACAGCTACAACCTGGATACCTAACGTATATTCTCACAACCCACTTTTGGGCTGTGACCCGCGGGTTAAGAAACGCTGCTCCAGCTCCTGCAATGTCGGTCTGGGTGTGTGGGTAGAGGCTGTTCCCAGGGAACTCGTATCAGTGACATTCTCATGATGGGAGAGTTGAGGCAGCGTCAGCATTTCTTTTCAAATCTGCTGTTTCCAAGACTTTCTGCTTGTCTCGGGTGGGAGAAATAGCTTTGTGCAGGAACCTGGCATCAGGGCTTTGTCCTTGGAGCATATTAAAAAGAAAATCCTTTTGGTAACTGCTGTACTGATGGTCCTGCTCAGGCCTAAGTTAAGATTGTATTAGCTCGAACTCTTGCTTATTGTCTGATACCTGACTTGTTTCTAGCGGACAATTCGGCCAACTCTGTGATCTTCGCTTCCCATACCACTTGCTTCCCCGATAATGACAGGTAAGCCCTTGAGGCAGCTTTATTTTGAAACAAATCTGGATTTGGTCCTTCCTCAGAGTCAGTGGGAAGCAATGCCATCCTATAGCTCTTGTGCTCCTTTGGATAATGGTTTTAAAATGAACTAAAACCTTAGCAACAGGCTTAGCTTTTGTTTGCATGCTCAGTATTTACCCGCTTTCTGGCTCAGACCGATGCTTTCATGAGCATAGAAACTTTCTGCCATGGGGAAGGGAAGAAGTTAACTGCTTTCTAAAGGTGTGGCTAGGAGAGAGCCCCATTATTAGATGTTTTTGCAGGTCTGTGTTCTGTGGGGAAAATGGGTTGATAGTGACTTTTGGTCTGTTATATTTTGCATTTCAAAGTCTTGATAATACACTGACTTCCTGAGTGTCAGGGAAAAGTTAGACGGTGAGCTACTTTTTGGTGACTGACATTTTTGCTGCTTAGTTTCCTGTGTTAAGCTGCTCAGACCAACTCTAAAGCACCCATTGCAGTTGTCTTTAACTACTACATTGTTTTTAAATGTTACCAGTTTATTTTTAAGGTTGCTTGCTTATTGAATCATATGTTTGTGTGATCTCAGGATGACAAAGTTTAGAAAAGTATACAACCAGGAGATACAAAAGTCAACAGCAGGGAAAGTTGTTGTGAAGCTGAAAAGTTTGGTTTTTTGAGACTGCTGTCAAACGGTCATGAGAATATGCCATCCCTGCTACAGATTCTGCAGACACACACATGTAGGGATGATCACAAAAAATAAGCATCAGTAGGATTGTGCATGTGTAAATGCCACTACAGTGAAAGTTAGTATTTAGATACACATTTGACCAGGAAATGGAAGCAAAGAACCGTGCTGATATTTAACCTAAACAAATCAGTATTGAGGATTTCACTTAAGATTTTACGTTTCTTGGCTCTTTGTTCTTTTTACTGTGTAACTTTAATGTTGCATTTTGTTTTGCATTTGAGCTTCTGAGTTATTTCCTTAATCAGAAAAGAGAGCTACGGCATTATGTTGCATGCGGAGCTCTTCCTCTTTCCTGCTCCAGGCTGCTTTTTAAATGATGAGTTCCTTTCTGCTTTACTTCATTTACATGCATTGTCTAATTGCTCTATCTTTTTTTTCTTCCCTTAATTTTTACTAAAAAATATGTTGGCAGTTTTAAAGAAACTGGCAGTGCAAGCCGGGGCGGGGGATCCATAAAAGAAGACAAACCTTAACATATCCTCCACCCATATCTTTCCCCAATGATATAATTTTGCCTTGCTCCCTGTTCCCCATGCCTTTTTAATCTCTTTACTACCCCCTCCTCCTCCAGAGATATCCTAGACATTAAATTAAAGGAAATCTGTTAATGCTAATGTTAGCTTCATATGTTGGTGCTGCCTGTTCCTATCCTGTGCAACCGCCCCCTTAATTCTCTGTTCATGATGCTATGTTTGCTTCCTGACGGTCTTTATCAGTCAGGATCATAGCAGAGACTTGCTCATTTTCTTCTTTTGCTCTGGCATTATCTATGTATGGCTGTTGAATGTTCTGAGTTCAGAAAGCAAGGGCCTGGAAGTGAGAAGGAGCCAGCTTTCTGTGTCTGTTTCTCTAGTGGATTGGTTCAGTCATTGAAGATCTGGCATGCTGTCATCTTAGAGTGGCATTTCAAGCTCCAGTGACTTGAGAATAACCTCCAATTACTTGCAAATACAGT